GGGGAAAAAAGGGGGAAAGGTAGGTGGAGGGGAGGAGGGGGAAGGCAGGGAGGGAAAAGGGAGGGGGTGGGAGGGATGGAGGGGTGGGGTGGACGAAGGGAAGCAGAAAGGGTATACAACGATTGTTGTGAATGATAATAATGAGAGACAAGAGGGATAAGGAGAGTAGACAGACAGACAGACAGACTGACAGACACACAGAGACAGACACACACACATAATAGAAACACGGCTCAAATACATGTCTGCCCCACCAGTTTGTCACACAGAGACAGACAGACAGACAGACAGACAGACAAACAGACAGACAGACAAACAGACAGACAGAAACACAGACACAAACACAGACACAAAGAGACAGACGCACAGACAGAGACAGACACAACGACACAAAGACACACAGAGACAGACTTACACTACATTTTAGAAACACGGCTCAAGTACCTGTACTGCCCCACCAGTTTGTCACACACAGACACACAGACAGACACACAGACAGACAGAAAGAAACAGAGACACAAAGAGACAGACACACAGACAGAGACAGAAACAAAGACATAAAGACACTCAGAGACAGACACACACTATATTATAGAAACACGGCTCAAATACCTGTACTGCCCCACCAGTTTGTCTAACAGAGACAGACAGACAGACAGACAGACAGACAGACAGACAGACAGACAGACAGACAGACAGACACAAAGACACAAAACACACAGAGACAGACACACACAGAGTCAGAAACACGGCTCAAATACCTGTACTTCCCCACCAGTTTGTCAGCGTGGGGTGTCAGCATGAGAGAGTCAATGAGCGAGTTACAAACACGTGTAATTTCTTCTTCCGGAATGCCCTTGATGCGGCAGTACAAGGTCAAGGTCTCCTTTCCGGTCAGCTGATCGGTCAAGGCGTCAAACTGAGGGCAGTAGCCCATGTTGGACTGGACCTGATGTTGAAGGAGAAGAAATAAAAGTTGATACCGACTGAGCTAACGGTACGATCCAGCAGTAGAAGGAGAGGAATGATGATCATGATGGTGCGGGTGATGGTGGTGGTAGAGGTGAGGACATCTCTGATGGCGGTGGTGGTGGTGATGATGATGATGATGATGATGATGATGTTGATGATGATGATGGGATTTGTAAAGTAATCTAATAAATACGGCACTGCAATTATTCAATGTAATGAATATTATACTGCTGTGCAATTATGCAATTATCATTATGATTATGCAATTATTATTATTATAATTGTTAATAATGAATGTGAAAATGATGGTACGGGTGATGATGGTGGTAGCGGTGAGGATATCTCTGATGGTAATGTTGGTGGTGATGATGATGATGGTGATAATGATGAAGATGATGGTGATGATGATGAAGATAAAGATGATGACAAGGTGATGATAAGGATGATGGTGAGGGGATATGTAAAGTAATCTAATAAATACCGCACTGTAATTATTCAATGTAACGAATATTATACTGCTGTGCAAATATGCAATTATTATTATTATCATTATTATTATTACTATTATTTTTATTATTATTGTTATTATTATTATTGTTATTATTATCATTATTATTATCATTATTAATGAATCGATAATGATAAAAAATGGCACGGTACTGAATACGGTAATGCAATGAAATGAGTACCCAAGTGTAATATTATTCAAGAAACTCAGAATTGCAATGAAGTAAATAGAAAAGCTGAAGGAAACTTGACATAGTCTGTACTGGGAAGCGCCACTTCGCAGCTTGCCCCGATTTTGCTGTGTGACTTTAAGTGTCATCCCACTGAGAACCCCCGTGTGACCTCGGATATTGTTGGGCACTAGGCCAAACAGTTCAAACGGAAAGGGGGGAGGGGGTCAAACTTAACAATTATCAAATATACCACAGGTTACAGGGGAGATAAATGGAGATGATTTTGACCACAGGGTATTCGTTCTCAGCATTTGACATGGGTGGTTGACGGTAAAGCTCTGCCCATTTGACTTTGCTATTCGACATTCATGATTTTTGCACTATTCACAGGAATTCAAATGTCGTGTGATTTTTTATTTTTTTTTAACAGATAATGGATTTTCATCTCAGTTTTCTTGAACATAGTACAATTGGAGCACATTACATCTAAAATCATTGAGATAAATATACCGAAATACTCTTTATTTGATGGTTACGAGACAGAGTGATTAGAGGAGCCAGCAAGAGATATAACATATTCCTCTAGAAACCTCTAGAGAATATCATAGCTCAAGCAAGGGCAGTTGACCCTTGAAGCACAGCGAATGGGTTTTTTTCTCGTGAGGTTAGCTGTCTCGATAACCTCCCCTCCCCCTAGGCTATTTGAAATTCGAAGCGCTATGAACGGTGACGTCATGTCATCACACTACACTGCCTACGACAACGACACACGCGCACTCAGTGACTGGCGCTGTGAAAGTTAATGGACTTATCGTATAGAGAAAAACAATACGACGGCGCTTCGAATAGCGGAAGTTAGGTCTGGGCTTATCGTATAGAAGAAAAAACAATTCGAAGACGCTTTGAATAGCGGAAGTTAGAGCTGGGCTTATCATAATATACAAGAAAAAAACCATTCGAAGGCACTGTGAAAAGTTCGTGAATGTTGAATAGCGAGGTTAGGTCTGGGCCTATCATAAATAATATACAAGAAAATAACAATCGACAGAGATATTCGAAGAGCTTGAATAGTGAACTCACGTTTCGAAGCTTCGATGAATTTTTTATTTCTTCAAAATCGCACAGAACTAGTTGACGGATGCTCTGTGAGTGGTTTGCTCCATCTTTCCTATCAAACATATATAGTTTTTATCTCTCCTACTTCTTTTCTTCATATGATATTGTCTGGTAACACCTTTAATCTTTGGCATTTATATGACCTATTCGTGTTACAGGTGCTGTAAAACTCTTACTAAAAAAACAAACAAAACAAATACACCACAAGTTACAGGGGAAGGAAAGTAGAGAACATTTTGACCAATCGGTATCCCTTCTAATCAGTTGACTTTGACCTTCTGCTGACCTTCTTGATGTTGTCCTTGATGTCGTGAGTCTTGACGTAGGCATTACCCCAGGAGACCATCTCCTGGCCAGTGAGCATCTTGAAGGTCGTTGTCTTCCCCGCGCCGTTCTGACCCAGCAGCCCGAAGCATTCTTGTTCCGGCACGCCCACACACAGATGGTCCACCGCCGTCATCTGACCAAACTGACGGGTAAAGATTTTTTAAAAAAAGATTGATTGATTTGAAAGGCCTTGGGCTCATACATCCACACATTTTAACATATGGCTCGGCAATTACAAACATTGGTGCAGCGCATCGGATATTTAATATAAATTGGGCATGCACGCACACACATTCACACACATTCTCACACACACATATACATACTAAAACACATACATACTAACACACATACACACATACACACATACACATATACACACATACACACAACACACACACACACAACACACACACACGCACAACACACACGCACAACACACACGCACAACACAGGCACAACACACACCAACAACACACAGCCAAAACACACACGCACAACACACACGCACAACACACACGCACAATACACACGCACTACACACACACACTACACATACGCACTACACACACGCACTACACACACGCACTACGCACGCAGTACACACACGCATAACAAACACGCACTACACACACGCACTACACACACGCACTACACACATACATCACATTACAAACATACACACATTACATACATTACACACACGCACCCACGCGTACATTTACATTACACACACGCACCCTCGCGTACATTAACATTACACCCACGCACACACGAATACATTTACATTACACACACGCACCCACGCGTACATTTACATTACACCCACGCACACACGAATACATTTACACACGCACCCACGCGTACATTTACATTACACACACGCACCCACGAGTACATTTACATTACACACACGCATCCACGAGTACATTTACATTACATAAACGCAACCACCCGTACATTTACATTACACACACGCACCCACGCGTACATTTACATTACACACACGCACCCACGCGTACATTTACATTACACACATGCATCCACGCGTACAACACACACGAACAACACACACACACACACGCACAACACACACGCACAACACACACGCACAACACACACGCACAACGCACAGGCTCAACACACACGTACAACACACAGGCACAATACACACGCACAACACAAACGCACAACACAAACGCACAACACACACGCACAACGCACACGCCCAACACACACGCAAAACACACACACACACTACACACACGCACTACAAACACGCATTACACACACGCACTACACAAACGCACAACACACACGCACTACACACACACACTACACACACGCACTACAAAAACACTCACTACACACATACAGCACATTACAAACATACACACATTACATATATTTCACACACTCACCCAGGCGTACATTTACATTACACACACGCACCCACGAGTACATTTACATTACACAAACGCACCCACGCGTACATTTACATTACACCCACGCACCCACACGTAAATGTACATTACACCCACGCACCCACGCGTACATTTACATTACACGCACGCACCCACGCGTACAACACACACAAGCAACACACGAACCCACGCACAACACACGAGCACAACACACACGCACAACACACGGGCACAATACACAGGCACAACACACACGCAATACACACATGCACTACACACATACATCACATTACAAACATACACATATTACATACATTACACACACGCACCCATGCGGAAATTTACATTACACACACGCATCCAGGCGTACATTTACATTACACCCACGCACCCACGCATACATTTACCTTACACCCACGCACCCACCCGTACATTTACATTACACAGACGAACCCACGCGTACATTTACATTACACACACGCACTCACACGTACATTTACATTACACCCACGCACCCACGCGTACAACACACACAAACAACACACGAACACACGCACAACACACACGCATAACACACACGCACAACACACAGGCACAACACACACGCACAACACACAGGCACAACACACACGCACAACGCACACACAACACACACGCACAATATACACGCACTACACACACGCACAACAAACACGCACTACACACACGCACTACACACATACATCACATTACAAACATACACACATTACATACATTACTCACACGCACCCCATGCGTACATTTACATTACACAAACGCACCCAGGCGTACATTTAAATTACACACACAAACCCAGGCGTACATTTACATTACACCCACTCACCCACGTGTACATTTACATTACACCCACTCACCCACGCGTACATTGACATTACACCCACGCACACACGCGTACATTGACATTACACCCACGCACCCATGCGTACATATACATTACACACACGCACCCATGCGTACATTTACATCAAAAACACACACACACGTGTACATTTACATTACACACACGCACCCACGCGTACAACACACACATGCAAAACAAGAACACACGCACAACACACACGCACAACACACAAGCACAACACAGACGCACTACAAACACACACTACACACATACATCACATTACAAACAAACACACACTACATACATTACACATACGCACCTATATGGACATTTACAATACACACACGCATCCACGTGTACATTTATATTACACCCACGCACCCACGGGTACATTTACGTTACACCCATGCACCCACGCGTACATCTATATTACACACACACACACCCACGCGTACATTTACATTAAAAACACGCACACACGCGTACATTGACATTACAAACATTCACCCACGCGTACATTTACATTACACACACGCACCCACGCGTACAACACATACGAAAAATACACACACACACGCACAACACACACGCACAACACACACGCACAACACACACGCACAACACACACGTACAACACACACGCACAACACACAGACATTTACATTACCAACATGCAACCAGGCGTACATTTACATTACACACACTCACCCAGGCGTATATTTACATTACACACACAAACCCAGGCGTACATTTACATTACAGACACTCACACAGGCGTACATTTACATTACACACACGCACCCAGGCGTACATTTAAATTACAAACACGCACCAACACGTACATTTACATTACACACACGCACCCACGCGTACATTTACATTACACAAACGCACCCACACGTACATTTACATTACACCCA